GAGCTAGACTAAACTAGCTCAAAACTAAACTAACCTAAAATAAATTAAACTAGGCTAAAATAAACTAATCCGAGAAGGGAACCACACAACTGACACAATCTGATTAAAGGATAAGACCCTTAAGTAAGGACCACGACAGTTCCATGGCACAAGACGGGTCCGACTACGTACCTATTTAGGCCCAAAATAATATTATTGGGCTGAGCATAGGTTTATGTTCGTCCCAAAGCTTTTTCGAATGTACTATAGGCTGTCTGGTGGTCCTAAGCCGTTTAGGTAGGGCGGTCGAGTCCTATTGCAAGAATGAGTGATTTGGATAAGAGTGGATGGGTCGAAGTCCTAGTACGATAAGGGGTCCTAATGCAATGAGGATTCTTGGCCATAAATGAATATGGCCTGAAAAATGGGTTGAGTTCAAAGTCCTAATAAGAGTAGGATTGGTCGAGATGAGGTTGGATCAGAATGAGAAGTCTTAATCCGAGTATGGTTTTAAATCGATAGTAAGGAAGATTTATTGCTATAAATAGAGAGCGGAGTGCACTATTCAAGTCCTCTCGAATTTAACACACAACTGCCCTGCGTAAACCTCTCAAACATCTTGAGATTTTTTTATTTTCTTTTTCCGCCAACACACCTTCAGTTTGGATAAACAACACTGTGAAGGCAATCGGTGAACATCTTTAGTTGCCATAGAATTAGCCAACCGAGGAGCACATTCAGTTTGGATAAACAGCACTACGTCGAGGCCGACTGGTTACCTATCTAAGTCTTGGTCGAGAACGAGTTCCGAATCTTTATTGGCAAAGGTCATCTTATTAGCCTTCTTGGCGAAGTAAGGTGTTACAAGTTACTACATTCGGCACATTGAATGATCAAATACTCACAAGTGAGTTTCAAAGTTCGGCATTTTGACGCCCGAACCACATTCACCATCAAGACATACATCTCTTTTGAGTACTTATGTCCGTATAATCTGGAGCCGGTTTGACGTGCTTATACTCTTACGAATATAATCACCATCACCGAACCCAACACCGACGATTCATGAACTTCGCAGAACTAGCAGCCTTGTTTTTAGGCTCGAGAACTCGAAGGCCGAGACTTGTTCTTTCCTTGGCCGCAGTTGTGAGATCAAGAAGTCAGCAGCGCGCTCAAAGCAACATCAAAAAATTTTACTCCTCGGCTGAGCTTGGCCGACGAGTTGGCACGCCCCGCATCAACCAAATGACGTAGTTAGCTCATTAGTTACTCGGCATGTGCGCCACATAGGCTTTGTAGTTTTTAGGGTCAATAGTACCACATCCACAAATCCAGCGAAGCAGCAACAATGAACCGTCGGCAACAGAGGTTCTAGATGTGACCATTGACAAGAAGCCCAAACATAGCCACCTCCAGATTTGCATACCCAAACTAAAGCAGCATCATCAATGAGGCATTGAGCTCTAATTTGAGCATGGATTTCGACAAGTCCACAACACCAAAGCAGAGTGATGAAATGTGGCTCCAACTTACCAACAGCTGCAATTCCCAACCCAGATCATGCGTTATACCCCAAGGCAGGGAAGAGGCCTTGAGCAAGGCATAATCCAGTTTTGGGCGAGGCTTGAAGCTAAGTCAAAATGGTGGGAGAGAAAGGTTGGGGGAATGACGCGAGAGGAGAGAGGAAGGTGAGGGGCTGAGAAGACTGGGTTGGGGAAGATGGCATAAAGAAACAGAGGGGGTGGATGGCGAGGCAAGGGAAATCTGGGATGAGAAGGGGGAATAGAGGGGAAAAGGAGGAAGGCTAGGAGGAGAAGGAGAAGTTGCCACCGACACTTTTTTGATAAGAAATGGGGGGCCATTTTTTAGTCGAAGAACTGCTCGACCGGCCGGGGCCGCTATTGCACCGTAGTATTTTCCTAGCTTTGGTCTACTCACCTTACACACCAAAATGCACAGCTAAAATGTGCATTCTTTATTGGTCCCGTTTGTTATTGGAATGGGAATCATTTCCCAATCTCGCATTGGAAATGGATGAATATTAGATTTGGGATTAGTTTGGTATGTTGGATTGGATTGGAAAGGATAATTTTTTAATTTTAAAGCATATTGAAGGTCCAAGTGAACGAACTTTCATTTGGAGAGGAATAGAAGATGATAAGACATGAAGAAAACTCATCCGTTCTACTTATACCATTTTGGAGAGGACTATATAAATAGATAAATTTTCTTCATAAGTAATTTATCTTCTACCCTCCTGTTGGTCGTAGTTTTCATTTCTCAATTCAACATATATAACTTGGAATTAGGTAGTTATCTATTCCAATCTAATCCACATACTAAATGAGCACGTAAGTGTATGAACCAAGTCAAATTTTGAAAACACAGATAGATCGAAGAATCCAAACCAACAGATAAACAGTCAAACTAAAATAGCCCACATGCGTTTCAATCTTGCGATGCAACCGTAATTCAATAAATTAAATAACGTGACAATAACACAATGAGTTTCTTTTATGTGTAAAACCCCACACTCAATGCACAAAATTCACAGGCACCGATTAAAGAATCCACTAAGGAAAAACCAACAAGTACAGTGAATGGTATTATATGATGGAGATTGCCTTGCCCCTGTCTTCGTACTTGCTTCTCATCGTCGCCTCTTGGTCGCACAACTCTGGTCGCGGATAAGCTTTCTCGCACAACTTGATCACACACAATGAATGATATCATATGATGGAGATTAAAATATCTCACTCAAATCACTTTCTAGTCTAACTCTCAATTAAATTCGACGACTTTGCTAGATGGAATTTACACTCAAAACTTTAGCTAAAAAAAGATTACTATCTCTGACACTCTCAGTATATATGAATCAATTTTACTAGTCGAGAGCCAGAAGCACATTAGCCCTAAAGCCATTTTTATATGCAACACCCTGAAAGATCTTAGGCAATTTTTTATCCTGGAAATTACAAAGTTTACACCGCGGCGCGCAGGCCAAGCAACCATTGAGATAATTACATCTTTCTTGCTGATGTAGGCATGCCACCTTGGGACCGAGTTCGGTTGAGGGAGGAACACTCTCGGCCTAGAGTTTTAAAACCTGAAGATAAGGTTATGCAATATACTACTAAGTTTAGGATCTTCTACAAAGATTTGGCTGCTTCAACTATATTGTGAAAATATAAGTACACCAAATCGGTATTATGCTGTAGGGACAAAGATGCTCAAAAGAGATGAGTGTCATTATGGTAAATATTTTTCAGCTGTTTAAATGCCGAATTTTGAAGTGCACTTGTGAGTAAATAATTATAGATCACCTCACTTCATCGAGAAAGCTGAGAATTGACCTCGTTTGGCGAAAGAATCGTAGATTCTTCGCCGACTGAGACTTGGATTGATAAGCAACCAAATTAGAAGTAATGTTGTTAATCCAAACTAAATGTACTTTGATTGACTAGTTCTACGGCTCCAGTAATGTTAATCCAAACTAAATATGCCGCATTGTCAACATAGTGATATTAATCCAATTGCATATGAATTGACGAAGGGGTAAGTGAAATAGTTAGTATTTTCTCAAGGGTGTGAGAAGGGTTTTGCATAGAGCGTTTAACTGTTTATTTAGTTGAAGGTCATTCTACATAGCAAAACCATTTCTATTATAGGGTGAATTTAGTAATGGCCAAACCTGTTAACGTAGAGTCCTACTAGAACTATGACTCCTCGGCACCCACATGGATACTCATCAAACCCCTCTTCTATTGGAACATTATCTCTATCTAGTCTCAACCTATTTGACTTTAACTAGGATCTGAACATAGGTCCCTTTAATTCATTCCTTATCTGATCATCCAGCAAGTTTTGATTCTTGGAATGATTCAAATCTTATCAAAACCCATGATGATTCTTAACAATTTTAATTCATTCAGGACTCTACCGAGCCACACCTAAGTTTGATCCTTTAGTAATCCCAAATTCATTAGGACTCGGTCGAACCGCTGGCACTACATTCCTAGGCTAAGAATGCCATCGGCCTGAAGAATCACCATTGAGCTGAGAATCACGGCCTTCCGTTTTGGTTTATTTCCTCTTGGCCCAAATTCATTCTTTGAGGCACAAACACTTATGTGATTTAATTTTGTGTTATGTAATGTCTAAAAAGTAAGTAGCAAGCACGGTTGAGTTATTGAGTTAATGCCCAAGGCTTCTAACAATTAACAATTGAAATAGTAATTATCTAATACTAAGTTATTGTGTTAGATGTTTGATTCTGAAATGTTGTTAGTCCTCTGTTTGGGTTTTCTTTGTATTTGTTTGACGCTTGTTTTTGCCCTGAGTTTGAATGTTAGTATCTAGTCCATCAAAAAAAGAAAACTCATTCCTACTTTTATTTGGTAGGTGAGTTTGCTTGAGCTGTATTTGGAGCATATAGAAGTTTGTTTTGGAAGATGAAAAGCATCCAAAGCTGTAGATGAGTTGTTACGAAACTCATCTTTATTCCTAAGTTTTTGTTTACTAATTACTTAGACATCGTAAGTCTTTGGCTGACACTGCGTCACGACAGTGTTCCAAGGTTATGATCTTTATTCATTTTGCAAAGTAAAATTATCACTTCATTTAGATTGTGGAAGTCCAATCCCACAACCCATAGATTAAATAAAAATCATAGGATATTTAGTAAATATAGCTATTTTAAGGTTATCTCCAACTTAAGGGTCTAAAATCTTAAAATTTAGTCACAGATAGGTGAATAGGTGAATAACCTCATACATATAGGTGAATAGTTAAACACGGGGCTAGATTTGAGATTTTAGATCCTTAAGTTAGAGATAGCCTAATATCCAATGAGAAATATTTGCATGTATATACTTAGAACAATGTCATGTAGTGTTAATATTCCATGTGTGATAATATAAATCGACAACAAGATTGATATATCCCGTTATTAGAGTATAAAAAAAAATTAAATACACCTTTTTAATTAGAATGCAGGAATAACAACACGTGACATTTTCAAGTTCGCCTTAAAATTACTCATATCCTAACACTCGTTCTTCATACAAGAAGGCAACGTTTCTTCAAAGTAGCTGAATCAGTTCATTGCATAGCATAGAAAAATACAAAATAGACATTACAAGGCAAATCAATAACAACGTTCATAGCTTAAATTTGGGTCTCCGTTAATTACTACTTTCAGTATTCTTTGGAGTTTCCATTGGTTTTAACTGTTCCAAGCTTTTCCTTGCTTATTTTGTTGCTTAAAGCCTTTCGTTTCTTCTGAATCTCGGTTGGGAGTTTAACGTCAGTTGCCAAACCAACAGCTTGAAGAAATCTTATTACGTACCAAGTAAGATCAACTTGCCACCATTCAAAGCCTTGTCGAGCTGAGTACTCAAAAGCATGGTGGTTATTATGCCAACCTTCTCCATGTGCTAGCAATCCAAACAACCTAAAACAATTGAAGTAATTCATTACATTTACTCTTGTCCATGGAAATTAGAAACCTTGTTCCATCAACTAAATAAAGTTAGATTTTACCAATTGTTTTTAGACAAATCACCAGTATCCCACACTTGCTTTCCCCATTTGTGGCAAATGGAGTTTATGGCAAATGTAACGTGGAGATAAAGTATCGTCCTCACACCCTGTAAAGAATGAAAAACCAACTAATTATTACCCAACAAAAAAAGGAAGAAGAACGTTTGAGAAATTAGGCTAGGGCTTAATTAAACAGTAAACAGTAATTAAGAGCAAATTTACCAAGCCCCAAACTAGAAAGGGTAGGCCTCCCACGGTATATAGCAGAACTCCAAGAGCAAGTGAGTGAAAGGGGTATGTGTAATGGAGAAATATATAGTACGGCTGCTTTTTCAGATCTCCAACGTTGTTTAGTCGTCCTTCAATCTGAATATATTCAAAAGAACCTTTATGGTGCAAGATGTTACGATAACGACAGACATATATCATAAAATTGTTCTTCTTTTGAGAAGTATAATGAAATAGTAAGAAAACATACACTACCAAACCGCGAACCGTAATCAAAGAGCCAACCAATATGGCTAAACCAAAAGCCCTTAATTGGGGTGTGAGCATCATTCCATGTATCAGTAAACTGGTGATGGTTCCTGTGTGTGCTCACCCATTCAAGTGGACTTCCCTGCAAACCAAAAGTAGATCATTCTCACAAACTTTTCTGCTAAAACAAGATACGTCAAATCCATGTAATGTTCTCTTTTCATACAAATGCTTCATGTTTAATATTTCCTTGTAAAATCTCCGCAATTAAAGTATCTTAAGAACGATTTTTGTTTCACAAACCTGAAGGGACAGAACCCCACAGTAGGCAAAAGAGTACTCAAGCCATTTCGGAAGCTTAAAACTTTTGTGGGAGAGATTTCTATGGTAAGACAGCGTTACACCGAGACCTGTGATCACGTACAGTGCCATGGCCAACCAAACTGCACTCCCATTGAAATGAAATGGTGCTAAAAGGGCAAGGAAATGCAAACCCAAAACGACAACCAGAGTCCCCACGTCCATGAAGTTCCATTGCCTCCCCAGGAGTTGTACTCTCCGCTTCACCAACCAATAGTACAGCTCCAGCATTGCCACAGCATCTCCTTCCTTTTGCTCCATATGGCTAGTAAATATTTTGCTCAACTGAAGCAAGAGATTTGCAGCGAAATGTAAAAACCATGTCACAGAAGCCTTTTTTATATAGAAAACCCTTTAGGAAGTATGGAAGTGAGGGAGACTAATCACATGTGTCAGAGACTTATAAAAAAAATTGAGGAAAATAATGAAAATAATTTGAAAACTTCGAGTTTTGTTAGACAAATAAGGAATATGGTTGGAGTCCTTGTGTAATTGTATATAATATTATTATTGGAAGAATAAGCCGTCCTACAGCCGTCCTACAGCCGTCCTACCTTGTCCTACCTACACACTAGCCGTCCTACAGCCGTCAAGCCGTCCTACAGCCGTCATACCTTGTCCTACCTACACACTAGGACGGCTACCTTGTCCTCTACAGCCGTCCTACCTTGTCCTACCTACACACTAGGACGGCTACCTTGTCCTACCTACACATTTGTATCATGTATATATATCCTTGTAATCTTGTAGAGAAAGATAATGAAAAAATAAGCATTCTCTTCCATTTGCATTCTCTTCCATAAGCATTCTCTTCCATTTGCATTCTCTTCCATTTTTCCACATTCATGTATCAATAACAAATATAATTTTTAGCCTACATACCTTTTTCTACAAGTTTTAATAATAAGATAAAAGAAATAGTAAAGTGAATAGTATTATAATTAACTTTTTAATGTAAAAATATAATTTTTCTTTAAAATGAACAGTATCGAAAAATTTTCGTTAATATTTCTTAAAATATAAGGTGAAGGACAGGACTTTGTCGATTAGCAAGGTCACGATTTCTCATTTCTTTTTGTACCATTTTTTCCCTCCATGACGATGAAAAGCAAAGTACATAATTGTCTTATGTATCTATACAACTTTTAGGAACGGATATTTGTATACGTACCTGTACAACCCTTGTTTTATATCTCTTTTGTAGTAGACGAAGATAAATATTTCCATAGATAAAATATTGTACTATATATATATATTTTTTTTAAAAGGACACTATAGATATCATTTCATAGGTAACTAATTATGTAGTCATCAAGTTGATCATTAAAGATGGTTATCGGTTCAAGGAGGATGCCTCTGATTTTTCAGGATAAGAAGGGGTACAGAAAATGGAAGGGATCCTCGGATCCCTTCCTTTTAATTCATCAAATTAATGGATTTGTGTCATTAAAATTTGATTCAACGGTTATAAATCAAGGCTCACTTTAAAAGTTATAATAACTTCAATCATTGGATCAAATTTCAATGGCACGGATTCACTGATTTGGTGGATTAGGAGAAAAGGATCCGGAGAGGATCCCTTTCCATAGAAAATGTCTCGACTCAATGTTCAAGTACCAGGCGCCACAACACTGAAGTAACACATGTCATACTCGTGGGAAAAGCTCTAACAACATAAATATTTTGGATATGAATATATTGATTCAAAATTCAATTTAATTATGTGTTTATTATTAAGGGCAAAAAAATTGTGTCTTTAGTTTTTCATAATGGATTTTCTTTGACATCTGATATATTTTTGTACCGTAGATTGGTTTTGACCCAAATTGGTTTTGAATGGGATTTTTAATTTGGGGAAGCAAGCACATAAATGTGTTCATTTCCCAAACTGGTCAATCAGCAAACACAAACAATCTCCAAATAAATCAAATCTTCCAACAGTGTTTTCAAATTTGGGGAAGAAGATAATGATTTGAGGAAGAAATCCCCAATCTGCTACTGCAAACATAGAAATGTGTTCATTTCCCAAAAGGACCAACCAGCAAACACAAACAATCTATAAATAAATCAAATCTTCGAACTGGAGTTTCCATTATATTTCACTAATCTAACATAATCTAATAAATATCAATTTAGAGAGAGAGAGAGAGAGAGAGAGAGAGAGAGAGAGAGAGAGAATTATTAGAAAATAACTTACTTATATACGAGGGTAATTTAGTTAGTGTAGAAAAAAAATTATATTTTTATCCTATTGTTGTGCATGTCATGTTCATATTCAAAAAAATCCTATCTTTACCCAAGATTAAGAAAATGTCTTGTTTTTAGTATTTTTCCAAAAAAAAAATTTATATTTAGGTTAGGGTGTCCGAAAACATTTCATGGCATTTTTATACGGGTGGAGTCATGAATTTGTTCATAATTTGGGGTTTTAATGTGATGTACCGCTTTTGAATAGTTTTAAATTATTTTAACCATGTGCGATATTACTACTCTAGTTTATACTAAAACACGAAGTAGTTTATACTAAAACACACAATGAAAGTTGAACGGCTAGATTAAAACTGTCATTTTATAATAGTATCCATTTTATAATGGGTTTAAGTTTGCCTGTGGGTAGTAGTTGTATCCGTATCTGAATTTGTCTCATAGATGATGGGCTGATCATGATGATTTCCTGCGGAAACTCTGCATGATCACATGCAATGAATATTGTTGCGATCGTATCTCAAAGCAAGCCAGCCACTAGGGCTAGCCTAGTGGTGAGGGTGTCGGGAAGGGGTGGGCTAGCTAGTTTAGGTTTTAGATTCGACTGAGGAGGAGGATTTTTACTTTTCTATTTCCATTCCCTTTCATCTTCTCTTCGCACATATTATTTTTTATTTTATTATTTTTATAAAAAAAATTAATATAAGATATTAACGTAGTTTAACCGTAACCATTTAAATAGAAGGAGATGAAAAGATAGAGAGATTAAAAGGGTAGAGAATCATCCTCCTTCAATTGAAGGAGAAACGAAAAGACTATCAAACACTTGATGACAACCACAAATTAAAAACTGCCATAAAAATAAGTCAGCCGTACGAAAGAGATTAAATTTGTAGATTAAATTTTGTAAACTAAATGATATAAAAATTGGTAATCAGATTATTACTTAATTGTTGATAAACGTGCTTATTTTTTTTTATTGATACATCTCATTTGGTTTGCTAATTTAGTCTCTCTAGCATTACTAATTCTCAGATCGTGGTACAAGTTTGCATGGTTACTAACTACAACAGTACAACTCTAGCTTCTAAAGTTCAACCAGTCCAAACAATGACAAATGGTATGCAAAAACATAGCCATTACGACCCCCTTTTTCTCTGCGGATCAGGATCCTCTCCTGATCTAAGGATGAGGATCCTCCTAACCAAAGAATATGGACCATTGGATGAAAATCAACGGTTATAATTATTATAACTTTAAAGAGACCTTTTGTTTGTAGCTGTTGGATTTTCATCCAACGATTCACACTTCTTAATCAGGAGGATCCTCATTCTTAGACCAGAAGAGGATCCTGATCCTTTCTCTGCAACGCCCAAAATTACACGTGTTAAGGACATTCTAAAAAGTAGCACGTACGTACCCTTCTAAACCGGGCCATAAACGAGTGCATGGATCACCATGATCAACTCGCCATGGGAAGGTACTGACTTCACGTTTGTTATCAAAATAGCAAAGGACTAGAACCCCATTACGTCCCATTCCCAATGGGTTAAGATTATGCACCCAAATTTCATTCCCATTCCCACATACAACACCCCAACTTAATTCATTAATTCAATTGAGATTTGATTAGGGAACAAAAACATGCGAAGGACTTGGTCAACCAAACAAGCGCGAGTCTCGGTCACGTCCACAAAGGCCCTTCCCTCTTCTCCACCACCCAAATTATTTCCAAACTCTCCCCACCCTCTCCTCCTTCCTCTCAAAACCAAAAGCTTGTACCACTAATTACAATTTCAATCCCAATTTCCACACAAGAAGAAACAATTCTACATCAGAACATGGCAAAAAACCTCAATTCACGACCCAACGTTATTATTTCAATCGTTTCTTTGTACAGAACTCAATTTCTTTGCGTATAAATTAGAGTGAATTAGAATATTGTGTTGTAAAAAGAAATCTCTATCATCATTATTACTTTCACCAATTCATCATCGTCAACAATTGTGGATTACATTTCGTCCTTACGCCCAATTTTGACTCAGATTAAACCAGTTTTGAATATCGGCTTGTCACAACAAGAAATCTCATCGTAGTTGAATCGTCTAAATCGCTAGCAACAAAGATGCCAAGCAAGCTAAAGAAGGCAATTGGAGCTGTGAAGGACCAAACGAGTATAAGCCTAGCCAAGGTTTCCAACAACAACAACTCGGCCAACCTCGAAGTCACAGTCCTCAAAGCCACGTCCCACGACGTCGTCCCCATCGTCGACAAATACATCCAAGAAATTCTCGCGCTCATTACGTCCAACAAATCGTACGCCTCCTCCTGCGCCCAAGCCATCGCCAAGCGCATCGGCAAAACCCGCAACTGGATCGTCGTGCTCAAATCCCTCATGCTCGTCCTCCGCATCTTCCAAGACGGCGACCCCTATTTTCCGATCGAAGTCCTCCACGCCATGAAGGGCGGCGCCAAAATCCTCAACCTATCCAACTTCCGCGACGATTCCAACTCCTGCCCGTGGGATTACACCGCCTTCGTACGCACCTTCGCCCTCTACCTCGAAGAGCGACTGGACTGCTTCCTCACCGGGAAGCTCCAGCGGCGGTTCACCTACCAGCGCGATCAGGAATTCAACAACAACCGCAGAAGCTCCCGGTCCAACGGGTCCGTCATCCGCGACATGAAGCCCGCGATTCTGCTCGATCGGATACATTACTGGCAGAAACTGCTCGACAGAGCGATCGCCACGACGCCAACGGGGGCGGCCAAAACAAACCGTTTGGTATTGATCTCGCTCTATTCGATCGTTCAAGAGACGTACGATCTGTACCGGGACATATCCGACGGTTTGGCTCTGCTTCTAGATAGCTTCTTCCAACTGCAATACCAGTCGTGCGTGAACGCCTTTCACGCCTGTGTGAAAGCCTCAAAACAATTTGAGGAGCTAGCGTCGTTCTACGCGCTCTGTAAGATCTTGGGAGTTGGGAGGACCTCGGAGTATCCGAGCGTGCAGAAAATTTCGGACGAGCTTCTGGAGACGTTACAGGAGTTTCTGAAGGATCAGGCTTCGTTTCCGGGTCGGTCGCCGCCAACCCATTTGCAGATTGGTTCGGATCAAATGGCGGGAAAGGAGGGTAAGAATAAAGGGTTGAGCTTTGAACCGAATGAAATCGCTTCTTCTGAGCAATACGAGGGGTCAGAGAGAGGCTCTGCTTTCGGTTCGGCTTGCACTTCGTTGGAGGATTTGACGAGTGTCGCCGACCACAGTGGGAATGTGAGTCCGTCTTGGTCGGTGGAGCAAGAGTTTTATAATTCAGAGGAACAACCGGATAAGACACCGGAGAATGAATCCATCAGACAGGGCGAATGGGAATGGATCAACCCAATCATTGCCGGCTGAGGTCGATCAACCTCAACCGGCGAGTGTTGGGTTTGATCTTGTTTCTTTTGACGACTGGACACCACGACCAGATCAAACAAAGCAACAAGAAAAAGGAGTTGAACAACTATTTGGTGTCGAAAATCAAGAAGGTGCGAAACAAGGATGGGAGCTTGTGTTGTTCGAGTCTACAAACAATGAACCGCCGCTGCAAAGATCATCGCCACCACCTTCGTCTGTAAATAATCTGTTTGATTCATCAAACCTAGACAGTTTGTTTCAGAAATCTTCAGTCCCACAACACCAATACAATCCATTTCTCGAAGATACAATTCCAATCGAGAGCTTTGCAACCTCTTCGAGTTCAAAAACCACCGCCAGCAATGGCTTTGGAAATTTCGGAGACGATTTGCTTTGGTCCCCTAGTACGTCCCAACCAGCGGCACCAACATTTTGTGCACATAATTCAAATGTTGGACAATTGGCGCCAACATTCCCCACGCAGAATACAAACAATACAACAACAGTACCGACAGTTCCCGCCCACAATCCAAATAACACCACAATGACACCGCCACCACTTGGCGGGCCGAGCCCAAAAGGGGGCACAATTTCACCAACATTGTGGACGCAACATTCCAATGAGAGCACAATGGCACCGACATTTTGCGCGCGGAGCACGAATGAGCCCACAACTGCGACAACATTTTGTGCTCAGAGTCCGAAAGAGTTGGCAGTAGCAACATTCTGTGCCCAAAACTCCAACGAGAGTGGAATGGCACCGACATTCCGTGCGGTGGCTCGTGATAACAAGAGTGTAGCTCCGAGATTTCATGCAGACGAAGCTAATGAGTTCGCAGCTGCGCCGACATTCAGTGTGCAGAGTGAAAACGACCCGTTTGCAGTGTTACCAGATGTGACAAGTACTAGTGATCCTATGTGTAACGAATCGATGAATCAAGATAGTCTGTTGCATCAACAGAGACTGTGGTTGGAACAGCAAAACAAGATTATTGCTAAACATATGTCTTGACTTTTGAATTGAGATTATTCTGTAGAGGTGGACCTCGAAATTTATATAAAATCAAATGTAATTATCTTGTATTCAGAAAACTTTAATCCATTCTCTTTGGCAGAGTTGAACGGCAACTGCGAGTTTATAGCATATGCTTCACACGCACCTTCGAGCCCAACAAATAGGGCCCTGGTGTTTTGAACGGTCACAGCCATGATATCATGCAGACTTGAATCATCGCCCATAAAAAAAAAAAAACAAAGGAGCCCATGAATCATGTTCATCCCACTTTAGCAAGCCAATTAGCTTGCATGTTGACATGGTCAATACTTCTTACGATTTGCCGGAAAATGGCTGGTCCGAGAAGCCATTGAGATGATGTGACGTTGTCATTAATTACTTTCCGTCTACTTATTCATTTACAAACATATTGACAGCTATGTATTCTAGTATCCGTAGTATCACGATATGAACGACAGATCGATAGTTGATAACGAATCGATACGTTTGATGATACAAAGTGGTTATGTACGCAACATAGTAATCAGGTCACCTAACCAAAGATTTCATCTTCCGAGGGACCTAAAGAGTACTAAAAAAACGTAATTGATTTGGTTAAGAGTATTCACCAGTACGCTTCATAAGCTCCATAAGCTAGAGAAGAGAAGAATGAAACGTATGGAGACATGGGACGTTAAAAGTGGTGGTTAACGTAAGGGTCATGAATTATAACCGTGGCAGTGTTGCGGGGAAATGTCAGTGAAAAGAACCACACAATGACCAAAAGGGAGAGGTGTACAGGCTTTACAGCTAAGTTTTGTACAGTTGCTTTAAACAGAGATCTCACGATTCACGGGAAAATATGACCTCTCCCTCCCCCAACACAAAATAAAATTAAAAAAGTCACGAACTTTTCTTCTGCAGGCATCAGATGCAAATGCAAATGCAATTTAGGCGAGGCATAGGCAAGCAACATGTGAACTTGTGAAAGAGAAAATGGACCACACATTACACTTACCATCATAGACATACTGATATTTTGACATCTCATTTTAATGATATGCGATATCCCATATTAATGATATATCATTAACCCTAAATATTACAATATCACATGACAAAAACTTGTCCATGACTTTGTATCCTTAACATTGAACTGACGGCGCGTTTACATAACCGTAATCAAAATAGAGGAATTGGATTGAAGAGAAATTGAATTGAGGAGGAGTCAGAATCGGATTACTGTTGAAGCTGTTTACCTAAATGTTCTGGAATCGGAGTATGAATGAACTTTAGTTCATATAAGTTGTTTACTAATTCAGATGAATCAGAATATAAATCAATAAGATTACTGAAATGCCCTTATTGTTTTTTGTTTTATTTTATCCTTAATTTATTTTTAATAACATTTTAGTTAGGAGTTAAGATCAAAAGGCAAACATTTAACAAATATTTTTACATTTTAGTACCCTGTAGAAGCACATCTATCTCTATTTGATTTTAAGAATAAAAAAAACATTTCATAAAATAATTTATTAAAGAGAAAAATAAATTGCAATAAGTAGTAAGAAGAAAAGAGGTCAAGGCCCTCTTTGGTTCTCAAAACAGGACAGTCTCCGTCTTTAGGGGAAAAAAAATGTTCTCCGTCCTCTTTGGTTCTCAAAACAGAGGTGCGAAGGAACCCATATCTCTCTATCATTCTGGGTTTTGTTAGAAACTTGATTCTCATGATTGTTTTGATTTGTATCATTGTATGTGGGTTTGTATTTGTTTGCACCACCATCGCCGTTGGAGCTCACCGTGAGTTGATAAAGATGAAATTGCAAGACTTTGTGATCGGTTGGAAAGGTGAAGTTGTTGGGGTACTTTCGGATTAGCCAAAAATCATGAGGGTCGTTTCAGTACAAAAGTTAGAATCCGGATGAAGAGTTTCTCCAGGAATCCAAATACCAGGTCTCTCCTAAGAATCCAAATCCAAGAATTTTCGGAGTGTGATTCCGGATTTTAGATGGGCCCCATGTGTTTTTGATTTCCTAAAATTTTAGTAAACACTGGAATCCTTTCAATCGGGAATGATTCCCTTTCATTTCATTCCAACCTCGATTGGTAAACACGCCATGAAAGTTACAATGCCAGTGTATTCATATTATACAAGTCATTTTTGTAATTAAGTGTTAACATATATAAATGATAATAGATGTTCAAATTAATGTGGGTTGTGGTATCCAAATACCTCTTTTTATCTTTCATACACATTTATACGTCTATCAACGTTCAGCTTTCGAATCGAATGAATTAAAAAAGATCGTAAGACATAAATTAATAAAAGGTGTATAAATATAAAAAATAGTGCATGGATACTTGTTGACCCTAAAAACTACCTAGCCTACGTGGCGTGCGGGTCAAGAAATTAATAAGCTAACTACATCATTTGATTGAATGCGGGGCATGCCAACTCGTCGGCCGATGAGTAAAATATGTTGTTGTGGTGTTGGGTGTGATGTTGACTTCTTGATCTCGCGATTGCGGCCGAGAAAGGAACACGTCTCGGCCTTCAGGTTCTAGAGCCTGAAGACAAGGCTGCTAGTTCTGCAAAGTTCAATATCAAATTTGACTTTCAATGTGCCGAATGTAGTAACCTGGTAACACCTCACTTCACCAAGAAGGCTGATGGGATGACATCTTCCAACAAGGACTCGGAAATCCTTATTAACCTAGACTTGGATAAATAATCAGTTGGTCTCGAAGGCTATTTATCCAAACTGAAGGTACTACTCGGTCGGCTGATTCTACAGCTTCAGTGCTGTTTATCCAAACTGAAGATGTTGCCAGTTGCCTCCACATTACTGTTTATCCAAACTGAAGATGTGTTGGTGGGGAAAGAATAAAATAAAAATCTCAAGGTGTTTGAGAGGTTTGCGCAGAGTAATTGTGTGTTGAATTGGAAGGGCTTTGAATGATGCACTCCCCTCTCTATTTATAGTAATGATCTCCTCCATGTCTGAGATAGAACTCCACTCGGATTATAATTCCTCAACCCAATCTCATCAGGTCTCGAACAATCCTAATCCCTATAGGACTTTGAACCAAACTCTTTAATCACCCAGATTTATCCCTTGATTCTCAACATCTTTTATGACTCAAAGCATCCTTAATTTTCGAGAATCCTCATTGTATTGGGATTTGATCACCTAACCCCTATCCAGATATAACCATCTCCTTATAGGATTCGGCCGAACTCTACTAGGCTTAGCCCATGACAGAATATTGCCAGTATCCCTTTTTGGACCGAGAATAACTCTAGGCTCGACCCAAAGCATTATTTCAGGCCCAACCAATAGCACCACCTGCAATTGCACTTGTTGGCTTCATATATCACATCTAGACTTCTAGTCTCCCCTCTTCCCTACATCTAATATTCTATTCTATTCTATTTATATGCCGTGTCTTCCTTCTTAGCTAGTCTTAAGTTTTCTTGACATTTTTCATCTTCTTCCCAAATTTTCTACCTTTTCTAGATTCTCAAAAATCTAAGAAACCCCACCCCAATAAAATGACCTTTTTTGCTCTTCAATCTCTGTTCGGAATGATGCATATATCCCCCAAATTTTTGCTTTCTTTCATCACTGTGAAGCACAAGCCTCAAATTTAGCTCTAGGCTTAGCGGTGCAAGTGAATAGGTTTCTTTTAATGGCGAAACACTTAACCTAAAAATAAGCTTCTGTGACATTCTGCAGTATCGTGTGGTGAAAGTTAATGTTAATACACTTAACATGTCATTTTTTTTTGTTTGGAATTACACTGTGGCATCCTAAGGTGTAGGTAAGCACTTCTTTATGTGGGGGATGAAGGCAATTCATGCTCTCAGTACGGGACACATTTTTATGTGTTTACCAAACATATTTTTGAGTTCAACTTTTTTTTTATACCCATTTTTTATAAAAGCACTTTAGTACCAAACCAGTACTAAATCACTTTTAAGTACTAGAGAAAAAGCTGGATGAAATTGAAGGGGCTTTTATCATGCATACTAAATGCAAAACAAGCAGGAGGGGAGTGCCACCCAGGAGTCAGGACCCATCTTCTGTCAACAAATCTGTTGAGAGAGAAAGTGAGAGAGAGAGAGCCAACTCAACTCAGTCTTACAGAAACGAAATACTTTCATCATTGCCCATTATCTGCTCAAAAAGAAAGACAGATATACAATACAAGAAGAAAATGAAAGAAAAAAAAACATCTAACTTGTCCTAAAAGCTTTGGGCTTTTTGCTTTCGGCTTTTGGCTGAATGCTATTGGCTCTACACATCCACATCCACATCCACATCCACATCCACATCCATCAATCAACATTCATCATGACAATCATGGCACACAAAAATGAATTGAAGGGCTCAGATAACATCACCATTGACCAAAGCAAGCAAACAAAAAGAGTTGCACTCTTTCTAAGTAAAACGCTAAACCCATGTTCAGTTCATGTCCATTACAAATAGAACCAAGGAGAGCAACGACAGTAAAACTCACATTACATTGGAGTACATTGTCACCGTGACATCTCGTACCAATAATACAACGAGAGAAAGAATGTACATTCTCAAACCAAAAACCAGGTAGGTGTTAATTAAAAACACAACCCAAAAGAAAAAAAAAAATTACAAAAAGGAAAGGGAAACAGCAAAACGAGGACGCTCCCTAAAAACCGCATCCATGCTTTTTCTTCTTCCTTTACCAATACAATATTTTACTAAAATATTAAATATAATATATAACATACCGATACCTTTTGTGGTAAAACCTTATAATTGATCGAGATCTTTTGTGGTAAAACCTCACATCCAACGAATTAGGCAAATGATAAAGTTGCGAACGATGTCGTTAAGAGTGGGCCCCCAGAGCCACTCGATCTAAAATAACTAGTGCTTGATTTAAATTTAACGACAGATAATATGATACAAATAATTAGGTATAGGATGTGTGTGTATCTGTTGCTTTTGTCGAAGCCACGTAGCTTTCACATTTCACATTCCCCGGACGGTTACAAAATCCAAACAAACTCCTCCTTCCTCCTCTGTATTTTGCACAACGAACAAAATTTAAAATATCTGTGTCAGCCAAAATGCCCGACACCAACAACAAAACTAACAAAAGCAATTGCTACGACTCTGCCGTTTACCGCTAAAATCCCACCGCAAATATTCACTGAGTTCACGAGTCAAACGGTTAAAAGTTGCCCCTTCTAGATAGATTAAAAAGGACTGGACCCACCGGGCTCCGTGGGCCACCACACTATTTACAATCTTTCACAGTTTTTCGGTGAGGGGTAGAATTGTCATTTTCATATCAATCCAGGTTGCCATGCTAACATGGCACACGCGAGTTGGATAGAAAGATGACACGTACCCTTAAACAAAACTGGAATTCCAAAACTAACCTTTCATTTGGCGGGTTTTTTCCTCTGCAGGTTAATTACCAGGATCTATTCCCCTCCAAGTCCAGGAGAAGATGGTCTTTAGTCTACCGCCGGTGAGTCTCTGCAACGCCTTCTTTGCTCCGGCGATCTCCATTTCCGCCAGTCTCTGCATATGTGGATAAGCTCCGGCGGCCACCAGCCTTTTCCGGCAACCACCGCTCCCTCCGCTGAGCACCGCCGCGACCACCGCCACCGGAAAGTTGCTGCTCGCCATCTCGTGATTCTTTGGGTCCAGCATCTGGACCAGCCTCATCACGCTCTTCTCATCTCTCACCAGCTCTTTCCGGTTCGACCGGACAGTCAACAGCGACAAAAGCGATTGGGCTGCCGATTCTTGTAGACCCACCGGTTTCGGCGACTCCATGAGCTTCACCAACGACCCCATACAGCTGCCCAACGCTCGCTTATTCCCATCGCTCACATGCACCGATAAGTGAGCGAGTAAGGAGACTGAGATTTGCTGTAGCGTTGTGTTGCCCTGCTTTATGAACTCGGCGAGTTGAACCAGGAAAAGGGTTGAAGACGACAGGATTTTAGAGCAGGAATCTGATGCTGAAAGCGATGTGATGGCTCGGAGGACGTGTTCCAATGTGTCCGAGCTCGGTAAATCTTGGATCAAATGCATTAATCTCTGCAACGCACGTTCTCGAATGATCAGAGCTCGGAAATACTCGTCAGAGGAGGCTAAAATCGCTATGCAATTGGCTGATTTTTCTTGGGCGGTCATGGTGCCGGAGAGAAGTAACTGGATTAGTACTGGCACGGCCCCTTCTTCTCCCAAAGCAGTTTTTATTTCTTCCACATTGGCAATATTTCTAATGGCGCCGGCAGCATGTGTCTGGGTCGCCGGAGACCCAGATCGGCAGCCTTCAATGAGGACCGAGACGCCACCGTAGGCGGAGACGGCCCAGGCGTTTTCTGGGTCGCCGGTGAGTGCCTCTACCGCCATCGCGGCCTTCTCTTTCAAATGGGTAGACCCGGATTCGAGTATTCTCAGCAGAGGACCCAGACCCCCTTCTTCGAACACTGCCTTGCGCGAGGACTCGTCGTCCGCAGAGGCCAGGAGGCAGACGGCGAAGATAGCCTGCTCACGGACGGAAGGCTGCTGGTGGAAATCGAGCAAATGAATCAAATATGCGACATTACCTTCCCTGGCGACGAGGCCGGGCGACTTGTCGTCGCCGCCGTTGAGGAGCTGAAGGAGCGACTCAAGAGCCTTTTTCTTGAACTCGACGCCGCCGATTTGCAACCGGGTGAAGAGGTCTCTGATAAAGAAGCCCAAATCCTCTTTATCCGACCCGGGACCCGGGTGGGACAAAACAATTGCGTTTGACTGGTGGAGCACTCCAGATCTGAGCAACAAGTCGAGGTCGCGAAGCTGATTGGAGAGCGAGGAGGCGGCCATATCGAGGTCGCTCTGCATTAGGAGCTTCCCGCCGGCGAACTCGGCGTCGGTACATTGATCGGCGAGGGCGGTGAGGCGCTGGAGAGTGGAGAGGAGTTGAGGGAGGAGGGTGTGGAGGAGGGGATTCTGGGCCCAGTGGGGGGAGTCGGAGATGTCGGCAACGGAGGAGTGGAGGGATGCGAGCTTGGAGTTGAGGGCGGTCCAGCGGCCGACGAAGGAGTGGACGCTGAGGGAGGAGCGGAGGAGGAGGGATAGGGTGGAGTTGATGAGGTCGAGGAGGGTTTGGAGTGGGTTTGTGGCGGCGGTGGCGCGATGCATTTGGGATGTGGTCCGGGTTAGAACCTGGTCGGGTTCGGGTCTGTCTCGGGCACAGCTGAGCAATGCATGAGAGAAATAGAGAGAATGCTTGGAAGTAAAGAAAAATGAGAGGATGGAGAAAAGTGAAGCGAAGCGATCGAGAGGAGTGTGGGGAAGAGAGCAACAATGGCGAACAATGAAGAGAGAGAGAGAGAGAGAGAGAGAGAAAGACTGAAAAGGAAGTGACAGGCAGATTTTTTTTCTTTTTTCTTTTTGCTGGATTTTGGGCAACGACTGGAGTGGAGGTTAACTATCAGAATCGATGGGGACTGTAACGGACGGATTACGAGATTTTCTTAAAATTAAAAATTGAATGTTTTCGATTCGAAACTCATTGTTGGTGTTAAAGTCAGATTTGTGACTAGATGTAGGTTGTAATGTCTTTATGTGTTTTCTCGAATTTCAAAATGAATGGATAACCGTGACTTACCACCAATTGTCTTTTTTTTTTCAAGAAAAGAAAAATTAAGTTATACAAGTTGATAATACTCACGTAATTTACGACTAGTCTCTTTGTACTTGCTTTTGCGTGCACGAGGTGTTTTCTTAATAACACTCGATGAACTTACACATCTGTTTCATTTAGATTACTTTGCAATCTACAAATTTTTATCTTGATAGGATACAAAAACATGTACATATTATTTGAGTGTCTAATTCTGTTTTGACGGTCTAATTTGTCAAAATTTTGTAAGACACTCTTGTGCTCTCACAAAAATATAATCATTTTTTAATATTTGGTTACTTTTTTTGGTTTAATAAAGAAAAGTTTGTTTTTGGGTTTATATGAATGTTTAACCATAAGGCCTTCTGCCTAATAGTATAGATGCTTGATAAGTCTGAGTCTTCCTGTTCCAGTTTGTCACTATTTTTGGGATGTTGATACTTAAGCTCCTGATTGAATACTATGACTTACGTTGTGTAAATGGGTAAATGATAATGTTGAACGTTATCGACATAGAACATTACACTAATAACAAATACACATTTTATATATAAAAAAAATTAATAATATCATATAAAGGTGTAACTGTCACGTTAAATGACGAAAATTATGGAGAAGTTGATGCGGAGAAATACTTAAATTTATCATCTAAAATCCTTTTGAGTCATATCGTTTATTTATGAATGACGTTTGCTTTTTCCCCCAAAAATGAATGAATGATTGATTGAACTACTATATTCTTCAATATTGACTTAAATATGGTTTGTTGTTTCATATAAATGCCAACTAGCCAACTAGCCAGCACTATCCATTCAATAATAATAATTACATTAATTATAATAACAATAATAATAACAAGGAGAGTGACAGAGATTGGTAACGTGAATATTTATCGAAACAAAAAGAGAAATGTTACGGAGATTATCTGAAAGTGTGAATCTATAAATTTTTGTCAATATCAATTTTCGTGCTAACATTGTAAAACATTGTGCCAACATCAGAATTCATGAAGAGTCCAACTTTTGAAAAAATCTCCTTTAGCATTTCTCAAACAAAAAATATTCATTTGTAAAAGATCACAATTAAGAAAATTCTCCTTCTGGATGGGCTTGGCTAGTATGGAACTGATAATATAGTGTGTGAATTGTTCTGGCCACCCAGAACCCAATTCTGCATTGCCCATGAGAACCATACATTGGGATATGACTGTGGACCAATAAATCCCAATATTCAACCACTAAATTGGGTATGGGCTGAACCATAAGCAGAGAGAGTGAGTTGGATTTTTTGTTTCAATGGTACGGAAAATGAACGATTATAATTGTAAATAAAAAATTTATCAATCGTATAATCAAATCTAGTGGTTAATTATTCTATTATGTGAATGATTCGTATTATTAAAACCAAACCCGAGTGAGTTAGATGACCTAGAAACATTATCGTTATTATATAGACTAGCTCACATATGTCACTATTACAACATATAAAATGAGGGATTTGAATCCTCTCCTGAGCTAATGGAGAGGATCCTCTTGACCCATTATCATGGACCGTTGGATTTTTATCTAACGACTACAATTATTTTAATTTTAAAAGGACTCTCTATTTTGTAGTCGTTGAATAAAAATCCAACGGCCCACGATGATGGGTCAGGAGGATCTTCTCCATTAGCTCAGGAGAGGATCCAAATCCAAAAATGAGTACTCAAATTGATGAACAAAGAGTCGAACATGATAACTATAATGATTATCTTACTTAACCCGTGTCCACCACGTAGGCGGTAATTTTTTTTTTTTTTAGTATATCGATATTTTACATTAAGGAGATGAAGAGTTTGGTTAAGCCATATAATGAGCAGCCTAATTTGGTATCAAATTCGTTATCCACGAGATTCAAACCTAAGATCTCATTTGGTATCAAATTTACCATTCATGAGATTCGAACTTAAAATCTTTTATTTATAAGTGAATAGAAATATCATTAAACCGTAGTGCTGGGTGATAATTATTGACTGTTGTGTAAACATTCTGGTCACATAAAAAACAAAAACAAAAAAATGCAAGCAATTGGCCAAGAACAAACATTTATTCAGGTAGCTTGCTGAGGGTCACCGTCGTTTGGTCTCTAAAACCCTTCTAATACCCCTCTCTCCTTCCACCACAAACGACCCACCCACAGTTAGTAAGCTTCATAAATCTCAGAAAATGGTGTACAAACCATGGAAGATCATCCCACGGCCATTGCTAGAAACCGTGCTCAACAACCACGCCCAGCGCCACCGCGTGCCTCAGCCTCTGATCCTTCACGGCCCCAGAGGCGCCGGCAAAACCACCGTCATCCTCGAACGTAATCACCCTTTTACTCTCTTTCGCTCTCTCCATATCTCTCTCTAGATTCTAACACTTCGTCTTTCTCCAGGTCTGCTGGGGGAGTGGAACAAAGGCCCTCACCTCACTGGCTACGTCGACTTCGCCGAGTCCATCAAAGATCACCACCCGCAGTTCAGTCAATCGTTTCCATGGGCTTCCTGGTCCAATTGCCCGCCGACCACTTTACCCAATTGCCGAACCAAGCTCGAAAGCTGCCTCGAATCCATGGCTCACAAGGGCGTCCAGCTGGGTTCCATCAGCTCCCATCAAATCTTCTCCATTCTCAGCAAATGGCATGGTCTTAACACGGCGCTCCGCCGCGTTATTGCCGGCAATGGGGCTTCCAAGAACGCGCTTTCTGAGAAAGTTTCCGGGTCGGTTTTGTGGGATCGGGCAGTGTTCGCGCTAAGTGCTCGATGTAATGGCCAAGAGATTGATGGGATTTTGGGTTTGACTGAGAAGAAGAATGTGCCGTTGGAGGAGGCTTCGTATTATAGGGAGGCCGTTGTGGCATTGAGATTGGCAAAGGAGGTGATTAAGCAGCAGCAGAGTTGGAGGGCTAATGCCATTGCTCATTTGAATCGGACTGGGGGATTTTCGGGGTCTTTAGCGAATTCGTGTACTGATTGGCCTTGTTTGTTGATGGAGTTGTTGTCACAAGCAGCTGAAATTGATCATTTTCAGGTAATAAAGTTCGCATTTTTGGTTGCTTATACTCATTCTTAGTATTTGCTGAAATTTTGTGTGGTTTTGATTAGTGTGTGGAGTTTTTATGAATCTCTAATTGTGATGTTTCTTATTGTATGGAGCAGCCTAAGCTGGTTATTAACAATGTCGAAGTTTTAAAGAATGCGATTCTGTTGGAAGAGAATTCATCAGTCTGCGGATCCATGTATCACGACAGTCTAATATGGAGAATAATTGCTTTAGGTGCAAATGAGAGGTGCTTTCCTGTTGTACTCGTGACATCGGATAGGTGAGATTCATTCCTAGCCATTTGTGTTTCTATAACATCATATCACTTATACATTTATATGTCACAAGCTAATAATTAACCTTTTAAACTTCTGCAGTGGCCTACTTTTCGGTGTATTTCCTCCTTTTCAGTTTATTTTCTTGTTTGTTTGAATTCTAATTCCTGTTGCTTTGTTACAGTTACTATTCATACCGAGCTTACATGGATTTTGGATTTCCAGACATATTCATCTCTCGTGAGGTACCTAAACTGAGACTCTGAAACCGTATTACTCTAAAGATGCATGGTTATACAAGATCATTACATGTGTTTGCATTTGCCTTTACTTCATTGACCAAAAGGAACAAACACTAGTTATTCTTTTCTGCTGTGCAGATACTAATACCTTAAGCTTGAAGCATGAAGCATGGGAACATTTGTTCCGTGACTTGTATCGTGCTCAATTCTATATTTTGCGACGTGGTTCAGTAGATTTGAGATTTTGTTTTTTAATTTGTTTTTGCTACATGTCGTGCCTGGTATGAACCCATAATGTGTTCTTGCCTGGAATGGCTTATCATGTGACTGTTCCTGGCACAACCCATTAAAAGTGTTGAGCCCCCTGCCAGCCACGACTCAACTTAGACTGACATGTCATTTCGGGGCCTGTTCTAAAATGTCGTGTTCATGTTTCGAATATTGTGTGGATACTGGAGGTTATCATGGATTTATACTTGGTTTGTTCTGCAGGCTTTTGGCTGGAGTCCCCAGGAAGCTAAGTTACATATGGTTACTGATTATTTCAGTAATTCAGAGGTAATACGCTTCTCTAATTTTGAATAAACATACTTTCCAGTGTAGTAAAATTGGGCAGGGGGAAATAAAAATCGATCGGTTTTCCTACTAATCCTGAAATTAGGTCCATCAGATTTCCTGATGATTCTTCATTTTCTTGCACTTTTTTCTTTCTTTATGTCCTGAACTGCTGGATATTTTAGTGACCTTTAGCTTTATTTTTGTCAAAATTCAGTGGTCGGTGATTGCTGAGGTATTTGGCCCAAACCCACGACACCTATTTGAGCTCTATGCACTGAAACAGGCCAATTACTATCAACTGTAAGGGTGATATTTATCTTTGTTTTTTACCATCTCGTCTCATATCATGTGTCTTCTTCACCAATCAACCTGTGCCTAATTTTTTCCAGAATTGATCCTACATGGTTTATGACTACTTTATTTGTATATAGTTTTAATGCTGTATAAATACCCTTTTTGTTTATCTGAAGGTTAGAAGACAACAAAGATAGCACATTTGAAGACATTGTGGATTCATATTTAGCTTACTTGCAAGTAAGTTTCTTTGGAGCATGATGATCTTACTCATTTATCTTTGTAATTTCGTGAACCTTTGTTGTCATATTTAAGTTTTGGTTCATTGATAAGTGTATAGAAATCTCATGATGTATTACTTGCAATTCACCTTCTTGGAATTTCTGTTCACTTCATTGTATATTTGATTTCCTAGATGTATATACATTAGTCTTACCGACTAACTTGGCCTGTTAACAACCGTGGTTATGCCTCTTTCGTAATTTTATAATTCTTTATGCAATTTGTGCTGCCTTACTTGCTATTCAAGTCTATTCATTTAGATTACTGTAGTGAATCCGGCCATGGAGAAAGCACTGGGGCTCCTTCAAAAGTTTGCTGCTGATGCACGAAGTGGAAAATTTTCAAAAGATAGACTACGCTTTGGTGCACCATGGAGACATCCTCCACCTAAAAATGATCCTACCATGTGCCTTGGATGGGCAAAGATTCAGCTGATGGATTTTGTGCAGTCTCTAATTAATACAGAATTTGGAGTACGTAGTCTGTGGTTTCTTTTTTTGTTTCTGACACTTGGTAGAATTACTAGTTCTACACTTGGAATAAAGCTGAATATTTCAGTAAAAATTTGTTTTTACATATTTTATAGTCTATGCTTTTGTACAACGTTGATAACAATAGTAATTATGCCTCATAAGTAGCTGGTTGAAACGTTAAAGCACTTTCCCTTCCCTGACTTGATAGGTCATTTGATAGATATTCATATCTTTGAGGTTGATGGTATGCCCCCTTGAACTCTTTCTGCAATTCAGGCAGGAGAAACAAAGAGTATACGTTTTCTTAGCTTAGGGTGGGAGAATGCATCAACTTATATCTGTCTTTTCCTTCCTGGATGCTTTTTTATTTACTTTTTCCTATGTACTTGGGTGCAGATTAATTATCTAGCTGATTGTAGCCTTGAGATCATGGACGATCCGTCTGCTGTTGCATTGGTGGAGGTAGATAGATATCTCTTCAATTTTTTTCATTTGCAGATAGAAATGCATTGCAATATTAATATTAAGATCGTGCATTTCTTATCATTTCTTAGGTTGGTTTGTTGTATGCTCAACGGGATCCATCCGTCATTCGCCCCATATCTAGAGGCATTCAGCGGTGTATTGTAAGATGGTGAGCTATTTTTCTTGGACTGAAGGTACTAGAAAATGATCATGAAGCTCTATCTGGTTAGTTATGCAGTTATCTGATTTCAGGCTTGTCCAAGAAAGGATGCAGATGAGTTACCCGAAATTTGTACAGTATAAATGGCAGTGTTTTATGCGTGGCCGTAGCTATCGTCATTTGATGCTACAAGTAGGCTATAAGTAGAGCATAAGAGGTAAACTGTCTAAATAGTATATTGTTGCTCATTCGAGTTCCATGTCATGATGAATTTTTGTTTGTCAGCTTTACAGCAAGGAGATGAGTCTAACAAAATGATCTGATTTGACTCTTTCAGCCGTCTCTTGGCAAACGCACTTTTTACTTTGGGAGTGGCCCCTGCTTCGGGTTAACATAAATATGTAAGTGATTCCTGATAGGCAACACAATTACACTTGCACACAGCCAGCACCATTTGTTTAACATCGTTGAAGTTAAGCCTATTTTCCTGCATTGTGTAATCTCTTTGCAAATTCCTGCTACAATACATTCCTCTGCAGTTATATTTGTATATTACCGGGATTGTTTGCTTCTTTTTATGCCCTTTTGACAACTAACATATTCACACTTCTTTTTCACCAAGTTTTTACAGAGCGCAAACACTGGTAAAATCATCATTAGCCGATTAAGAGGAAATTCGGTGCTTAGTAAGAATCTCCTTCTCCCTCTCTTCCATGTTCACGACTATTTCTATGTCACTGATTGAGAAGTGAAAGCAAGTCTGAAATATAATGGATTTAGGTCTTTGCTAGCAGTAAACCTGGCATAGTCGTTTGCTTGTTTGTCTCCCTCGAACTATTTCGTGCGGCATAACCATAACTCTAAGCTTCTTCTTGTGCAGGATACGCCACGGAGCAACCGTGTCAAAGATTTGATTTTTGAAGACTACCAACAGAAATTTTTGACATTTGGAGATGTGTAGAGCATAGCTTGAAGTGAAGTATACGGGCCAGCATTCTCTCATGATTCATATTTTTTTGTTCAACAAAAATTTCAATAGCAAAGGATGCATAGAGCAAAATAAGGTCCAACTAGTCAGCCCATTGAGTTTTGGTTAACGTAACGCTCGCTCATTTTTTATGGGCTCCCATTCATGAGAAGTTCTTTGGTGCGGCCGCCTGAGAACACTTGCGAGGGAGAGATTCTCATTGACGAGGTCTCGCTCTCGTGAGTGTTGCTTGCTGCGGCCGCCACAACAAATTATTACCATTAGGTTCTGGCTAAGATTATGTTTTTTTAATTTATCTTGTGATTTTCTTAGACCAAAACAAATCCATATATTAAATCAAAATTCAATTTTATGTGTACATACATAACTTCAAGATCAAATTAATGCGTAGTTTTTCTTTTAAAGACAATATAACTTCAGATGTAAATTATTACATGAAGAAAATTACTAAATCAAACACAAGACTGATTATAGTACATCCTAATATAACAAAATCATTTGTTATATCAAGTGTCTTTGAAATGACTGAAATTGTTTTTAGAGAAAATACTTCACTCGAAGTGCTTTCTTATTTGCTTCTTGTATGAAACACTTCAAATACTATTTTAGGATTCACTAGCATTTGTACTAAAAAAATGTTCCAAAATCATTTTGATAAAAAATAATTTCAACCATTTTAAAAGCACTTTTAAATAAGCCCTTAGCTTCTCTAAAAATATGAATTCGTTGTAAGATTTTGGAATTGCATTGAACATATTCTATCCTACAAAACGATCATGCAAAACGAGACCTCATTACGAGTCATATGTTTGATTAGTCTTGAAGAAAATTCATCAAGGATTACAAATCAAATATTGTTCATCTAACAAGCCACCCATGGGCCAATTGAACCTTATTTTGTCCCCATAAAACGATCGGTGACTATTTGATCATTAGTCACACATCAAAACCACGACCCCAAAAGAGTCAAAGTCAATAGCTTTATTTGACTCTCTCAGGAGTCGTCAATTCAAATACATAAATATCTCACACGAAGTTGGCAGGAAAGGCTCCAAGTGAATTAGTGGAAATTACAAATTGGAATTGAAGGAATTGGTCAGATGCAGCAGGCAACCACATTTCTTTGAAATTGTATCCCATCCGGATCCACTTTGTGTGGATCCTAGTCATTCATCGTGTATCGTATGGTTAGAAATTATTTAATTTTTTTTATTTAAAATTAAACATAAATAGTATCTGACGAAAATTAGCCGCACGATGTATGATGAACAGCTAAGATATGGGGATCTCTAGGATCTCCACAAAGTGGATCTGAAGAGGATCCTCTTCCCATTTCTTTTTCTGTTATTAGACAGAATTAATCTCTCTAATCCAATCTGTGTGCCTTGGAGCCTTCGGAAAATGAAGCCTCGCCACAGAAAGGATTTCCATGGATATTCCCCAATATTGTATCAGTTCAATGAATACCGTAGAATTTGGCTTCTTACATTTTGTTGGTTGAGGGATTAGGGTTAGGGAAGTTTCTCTTGATCTTCTCTTTCTTTTTATAGCTGATTGAATTGAATAAATTAAAAAATAATTAAATGACATAACTAAATAGATGGTCGTTCGTAAATGAAAATGAATTGCGGGAATCATGTCTCTTAAAGTTAATTCACTATGTGATTACTATATTATTATCATAAAATAGGGAAAATATTAATCCACATCAAATCAGTTACTATGTCACGATTTGGTGAAGTCATGGTCCTTGTTGATCAAAATTCAATAGTCAAAGCCACCAATAATATTCCCCTTCTTTTCCTTTTTGTGGCACCATATTTTTTACTTACTTTTTGACATACGTTTTTATGGGATCTATTTTGTAATGTATTTTAATAATCTAAACCGTTTATCTTTTAGGTCTTCCCTCAAATGTTATGTCTATCAACAATCACCAAAATCTGAAACAATATGATTATTGGATTAAGAGCTTATGGTTTCTTTGTAAAACCGGATTCGTCTCTTTTTCTTCAATACAAATGAATGGTTTGGATTTGTCTAATTTTTTGCAAAGGTGACATATGAATGATGTTCTAAAAGATAAACAATTCAGATTGCTAAAATACATTGCGAAGTGAGCTCCATAAAAACGTATGTCAAAAATTATGTAAAAGAAGTGGTGCCATAGATGTGTCAACACCCACCCATGCATAAAGTAATTAGTACAAAATAAATACAAACATTGACTATTATTGATATCGCATTCATCACATTGATGATATAATTGATAACACATGCTCTCACAAACCCTAGAATTTTCTAAGCATGATATAACTAGCCCGTCATATTAGAAAATGTTCTTGTACAATGAATTTTCATTGGTTGATGTCACAAATGTTATCGTAGGTGGTCGTGAAAAATGCTAATAGTGCTGATTACCTTTTTCATTTGCAACACGCAAGCTTTGTAGGAATTTCACAACGTGATCATGTTCATAACTTCATAGCTCAAGTGATACAGCCAGATATGCGACTTTACAGAATTGAAACTGAGAAGGGATTGAAAACTTGAGACATCTTCTAACACCGAAAAGAAAAGTGCCGATAACTTTACGAAGAAGATGAGGCGACGTGACTGTATAGAGAAATGGCAAATTAAGTCAAGCAAAGAGCTGCCACCAAAACTGCTGTTTAGGGAAAGAGTTTAACGTGATTGAGTATGATATGGCGTGACCTAAGGGGATCGAGTTTTTTGGTACATTAATTTTCCAAGCAATAGTCAATAGTCATAGTTTTGAACCAGGAATAAGATTCCCAAACTTTCTTACTCCATTTCCAAATGAAATAATAGGTTCAACCTTTCAAACTCAAGTCTTAAATGTCTGCTGCCAATTAGTATTACAGTTTAATTAGTGGTATTCCTATTCACTTGTAAGTGAGATGTCTTAGGTTTGATTCTCGTCAAAGACGAATTTGAAGCACATTATTGCTAGCCCATTATGAGGCCAAGCCCATCCCCTCCCCCATTTGTATAGATAATATCATTTGTTCAAAATAAAAAGAAGTCTTAAACGTCTACTTTATAACTAGATAGCTAATTGAAACCCACAAAAAATAACTCAAATTTATAGGAACAAATTAAAGAACGAATAGTGAAAGACCTTCAGATATATATTTTCTGGCCGCTAAATGGTCCTAAACCACCTTAGTTCCAATAAACATCCTGATCAAGAATGCACCCAAAAAAACTCCATTTTGGTTTTTTTTCCTTCTGCTTTTTTACTTTCTTACCCTTTTTTCCTTTTTCCACTAATGACATGACTCGTACCAAAATTTTACTCACAGTGTAATTCTCTCTCAAATGCCACTGTTGTTGTCACATTTTTCTCAAATAGCATATTATGTACCGTAACAAATAATTTCACTGTATCGATATTATTTTGATATATTATTGATATGTAGATGACATAAGGTGAATGTAACTATGTTGTGACAGTAATAATATTTTTTTTCTTGCAACATTATACGGAAATAGTGCTAATTGAAAGCTTTTACCAACACCGAAAACACCTTAAATCTCTAATGTAGGCCATCCACAACTTGCAATTTTATACCTAATCCATAGAATTATTGGATAGAGGAAGGGTCTCTGTCCAATATATATTAAACTTAATCCACCTCGCAACCACTAAAATGATCGAATGGTCCAAAAGCTACATTCCAAATTAATTCACATAAATCCCATGTGAGGGCATAATAGCAAAATGCGATATCATGTACACGTTTTGGTTTTAACTCTTTGATCTGTCCCAATCCTATCGCAATTTGTACATGATTTAAAAGAAATCCAACAAATTGAAAAATCTTGTTCCACAAGTTATAGGAGCTTGCAAATTCATGTACTTATCTAGAACTTCTTGTGTTAATTTTCAGAATAGACAGGACCTGCAGGAGATGCACAAAAAGCTCACGAACAATGCGGTGGGTGCGTAGGAGCCACATTTTTCATCACTTAATTGATCGTATCACTTGCTACCAATTATGAATGTGTATGGCATGTGCAATGCTTTCCAAATGGGTTTGTTTTCTTGTGTCCGAGTGGTGTTTGACGCAAAACATTACTTTATCCCATCGAGTGCCACAGCATTTTCCGACCATTCAGGTAGGAGTGCTTCCCATAATCTTGGTTACTTTATACTTTATAAAAGTAGTAAGGGATATTATTATATTTGGATGGTATCATGGGTGAATTGGATTGTGAAAGGAACCTAATTAAAGGGTCTTTCCAGAGGATCCCTCAATCTGTCTTCCACTAGCTATACCTAACTACTAAGTTACATCTTGTTTAGAAATACTTTTAAATTGATCAAAAACATTTTTAGAGAAAATATTTTTGATTTCCAAAAACACTTGAAGCGCTTTTTCTAAAAAACACCAGTTATGTGTTTCTTGTTGAAAACACTCCAAATTTTTTTTTTAGGTTTCACTCTTGCATTTCTACTAAAAATTGATTAAAAAAACATTTTCGCTCAAAACGCTTTCAGCCATTTTAAAAATATTTACAAACAAATCCTATAAGAGACAAATCAAGTGACGAAAAAACCAAAAGAAAAGGAATTTATATCCAAAATCGGTGTCAAAGTTTGCTTTAGAAACTCATAGTTTTAACAACTGAAAGAAACCCTAGACATCATTTCATAAAAGACGTCGTGAATATAAAATTACCTCAGGGCCAGATTATGGTTAGTAGGATGTCTCAAATCCTCACCTCAGTATTTTCTCATTTGTATATTTACAGTTTGACGGAGAGTCTCAAAGTTAAATTTGACATATGACGAATTGAAGGGTTAATTATTTAACGATTTCATGCAAATTTGGCAGAATTTGATTGGGCAGAGGTCAGACCAGGTGAACAGTATTATTGGAGATATGGGAGCTGACTCAACCTTTTTCGCCCTAGCTTGATATTAAAAGATAGTCTTCTGTTGAGTGTAACCCACAGAGATGGAAAGTAGAGAGAGAATATTTTTATTGGCTTTTCTTAGTTTGTATAGTAAAGTTGTTCGTATTCACTATTCACATTGTGTATTCCCCCACAAACATGGACCAAAATTATCTACTTTGTTTGGTTTCTATCCAAATAATGATTGAAAGCACAAAGATACAGTTGTCTTAATTAATCATGTAGTAGGTTTTTTTTTTTTTTTTTTTTTTTTTTTTTTTTTGTTTCCATTTATATACAAATAAGTTTTTTATTGAATCTACTTTAATTCCCGATCCGAAGAAAAAAAAAAAACTCCTAAATTAAATTGTTATTGTACTTAACTATCATTGACAGGTGAAATGTTTTCTTTATCTTTAAATTTTTTTAAGTGTT